GAGCTCGAGTGTTCACTTCCCTATTCTGGGGCATATACCTTTCATGCGGTCCTGCTCAATGGAACTCTTCATTGGATAATGGAAACACCAGACCAGACATCCATGATTGTAGCTTTCCTTTTAGAAGAGGAGCAAGCTGGAGAAATTCCTTTGCCGGTTGAGTATTCCAGTGATGCGGGAGATTGTGTGTTGGGGGTCTTCAGGGACTGCCTATGTTTAACACATTGTAGTGATGAAAGAACTTATAATGAGTTTTGGGTCATGAATGAATATGGAGAGGGGCAGTCGTGGACTAAGATAAAGATCTCCATCCCTTATTCCGAATTATCACTTTCAGGTTTTTGGAAGGAAAATCATGATCTTTTGGTGTTCCAGAAGCAATTGGTTATGTACAATTTTAAGGAACAAAGCTTTTGCAATGTATCAATCCCTGGATTTCCCCATGTTGATTGCATTGGAACCTACTTGGAGAGTCTTGTTTCACCGAATTACTATGGCATTACTGATCGAGAACTTTAAGCATAAGACAAATGCAGATAGAAGAGGTAAAGTAGATGAATCCACTCAATCTCTTTCTAGACTTTATTGTTTGTTTGAATTTCTTTCCGGTATTGTTTATGCACTATTGAACAATATTTTTATGGTTTTATTGGTTGATGGTGTTTATTTTTAATATGCCGAGCTTAGGCTTTCTTAATAGTAGAGTGTTCATGTATTTATTCTCTATTTTTCAATGATTGGAATGGCAGTCATGCTCAGAAACAAACTGATATTAAGAAACCAAATACATTTTGTACCTCTTTTTTTTCTTTGTTAACAATGATTTTTGGTGCTGCATTTGCATTATGGTGTTATCCTATCTCTTTTCTACCCATGGAATGATTCAGAATAGTATACATGTTCAATCTATTTGGTAGTTAACAAAACCATAGGACATCCAGGATTTTGTATGTGATTTTCATCATCAGTCCTAGTGTTGTTGTATGTCCTGAATGTAACAGTTTTCCTGTCAAATATCTCTCTGCTCAATGTTTTCGTACTTTTACTCTGCATTTTCCTGTGTACAGTAGTTCTTTGCTAGATACCTGTTTTGAAGTACTTCTCTATGGAGCATCTAGTTATTTGTTTGCGAATAGCACGTAACGATTTCATTACAAATTCACATATGTTTGGCATTGACCTGACAATTCTTTTAAAGAATGCACATGTTAGGTGTTCCTTCATGAAGCACTGAAATTGTTTCTCTAACCAAAAAAAGCAATGTTGTCAATTTCTTCCAATTACTAAACGAAAAAAAAACATCTTTGTTTATCTAAAAGCAGTTTTGACACAATTAAAACCACTTTAAAGTACTTCTTGTTGGAGACGAGTTTTTGATAGTTTAATTGGTTCATGGTGCTTGTTTTTGATATGCCACACTTAGGCTTTCTTAATATCAGAGTTTGTATGTTTTTTTTTCTCCTGTGGAAGGAATGGCAGGCATGCTCAGAAAACAATTATACTAAAAAAAAAATTTAACAAGGATTTCTGTGCTGCATTTGCATTATAGTTTTATCCTATCCGTCTCTTTCACCCATGTGATGATCCGAAACAGTATACATGTTCATTTTATTTGGTGTTTAACAAAACCATAGGACAGACAGGATTTCATGTGTTTTTCATCATCATTCCTAGTGTTGTATTGTATGTCATGAATGTGACAGTGTTTCGTGTCAAATATTCTCTGCTAAATGTTTTCATACTTTTACTTTCCTTTTGCCTTCGTACAGTAGTTCTCTGCTAGAAGCTCTGGCTTGTTTTGAAGTATTTCTATATCGAGCTTTTAGTACCGTTTTTGCTAAAAGCACATAAAATATTTCCTTGGAAACTATTCACCTGACAATGCTTGTAAAGACTACCTATGTGTGCTTCTGAAGACTGCACCTTTACATGCTTCTTCACAAAACACTGAAATTGTTTTTCTAACTGAAAAGGCATTGTTGTCTGAAAATTAAAATTTTTTTTTTTTTTTTTTTTTTTTTTTTTTTTTTTTTTTTTGCGTTTGGTTATGTTAGCCACTTGCTAACCAAAGAAAGCACATTTTTTTGACACAAACACTGGAAAATACAACCCTTTTTGTCTGTCTTTTTTTGAGGTTTTTATGAGTTTTATTGGCTGATGGTGATTGTTTCTAATATGCCAAGCTTCGGTTTTCTTAATATCGGAGCCTATATGTTTTTCTTTTTTCTTTTTCTATCAATGGAATGGCAGCCATACTCGGAAACCAAACTGATATTATGAAGAAAAAAAATTATACTTGTTTTTTCTTTATTAACTAGGGTTTTGGTGGTGCATTTGTATTTTAGTTTTGTCCTATCTTACTCTTTCTCCCATGGAATGATTCAGAACACTATGCACGTTCGCTTTATTTGGTAGTTAACAAAACCATAGGACGGGCAGAAGTATGCGTTTTTCGGCATTGTTCCTATGTTTATGTCATGATTCATGAATGTTATAATCTTTCATGTCAAATATTTCTCTGCTTAACATTCTCGTACTTCTACTTTCCTTTTGCCGTTGTAGAGTAGTGCTTTGCTCATCAGGAGACAGAAAACGCTCGGGCCTGTTTTGAAGTACTTCTATATGGAACATCTAGTACCGTGTTCACTAAAAGACAAACGATTTCATTTGAAACTCAATTATGTTTTGCATATTGACCTGAAAATGCTTTTGAAGAATCCTATTATGTGCTTCTTCATGAAGCACTGAAATTGTTTTTCCAACCGAAAATGCATTGTTGTCTAATTTTTTCCAAGTATTAACAAAAGCTTTTTGTTTTTTATATATATTTAAAGCACTTTTGGCTCAACTGAAAGCACTAAACGCTTGTTGGACACAAGTTTATTTATTTATAATAGTTTTTGGTTGATGGTGCTTGTGTGCTGCATTCGCAGTATAGTTTTATCCTATGTGTCTCTTTCACCCATGGAATGATTCAGAGCAGCGTGCATGTTCGTTTTAATTGGATTTAACAAGACCATAGGACAGGTAGGATTTCGTAGGCATTGTTTCGTCCTCATTAACGCTTTTGAAGAAAGCACCTGTTAGGTGCTTGAATGCTTCTTCATGTAGCACAGAAATTGTTTCTTTAACTGAAATAGCATTCTGTCTATTTCTTCCAATTGTTAATAAAGGCATATTGGTTATCTAAATTATTTTTGACACATTTAAAGCACTTCCAAATACATCCTCCTTGTTAGACATGGTAGTTGGGTGTATAGATACAAGTTGATGAAGTTATATGATTAATGAGTCTATAGAACTAGTATCTCACTGCTTTTGGATGCTTCTGTTTGTTAGATTGGTTTTGTAAGAAAATCAAGGAGTCAAGAGAGCTTGGTTCTGAGTTCCTAATATGTTTCCATTTCCTTTTATTCTGTTGGGTTTTAATAAGTGGCTAATGTGATTGATTATTCCTGGTTCTTCTATGAGTCATATTTACTGGGGTTGACTTTCCAACATTGTTACAGTGATAATTTTCTCTTATGCTTGGTTTTCATTAATGATTTTGCTAACTGATTTAATGTTATTTTTCAAAGAAATTGTGGCTTGTTGCCCCCTTTTCCCCGTTGTTTCTGTCACATGTGGCCCCTTCTCATAAGTTTTCCATGCTTTTATTGTTTGTCTTCTGTTTACAAATTAAATGCATTTATGATTCAGTTATGAACTTTGTAAAGAAATGAATACTGGTATTTTATGAATTTTTTTTCATTTTATAGAAATGTTTGCTTGAAATCTTTACGTAATGCCATCCTTGTGTCACAGGGGCAGATCTGTTTTCTCCAGAAGACATTAGGTTCCTTTTCTGGTTCTAGAAGAAATTATCTTGAAGACCCAAAAATTGGTTGGTTTGGCTGGCTATTGTAGGATGTACCAGTACAAAGATTTTCCAGCGGTTCTGTCTGTCTCTTCCGTTGCATCTTTATGTTTTGAACAATGTGTTAGGTGTTCTTTGTGAAATCTTCGTTGATAGATCAGTTTCATTTTGGAATGATGGCATATCAATTGGTTCCAAAGCACTCCTAGGTTATGCTGATGTTTTCTTCATCTGCTTTAACATAAAGAAATTGCTAGACAATTCAAATGAAAGTTTATAGGTTGTTAATTGCTGCAGTATCCTTGATTACGATGCTTGTTTAAATTTTAAGTTAGCATAACTGGTTGAGAGAATTAGCCCACCCCCAACTCGTGAGTTCAAATAAGGCATTAGGCCTCCCCTTTGCAATTTTGTAAACTTGCTGGTGCTTAAATAAAGCATTGGTATCGAACTGAATTCCGTAAGAACTGAAATTTTTGCTAGCCTTGAATAGGGCTAATTATACAGAGTCTGTCTTACACACACTATGAAAGTATTCTTGGAATGGTGTAACAGTCTCTCGGCTACACCTACTTATTCAGAATAATTACATTTAAAGTGGCCTCATATTTGAATAAACAAAATACTTTGACATCATTTGGTGGTGAATAATTAAAGGGACTAAAATAGTACTCGTATGAAAATTACTATCTAAGTCGAGAATTTCTTTTATTTCTTTCCCTTTCTTTTGGGATGCTTTACTCTTTCTAGAAGTTTGATTTTCATGGTATGTTTACTTGTTAATGAGTATTGAAATTATTCTGATTCCTGATTTCCCTTGTATTTGCTAATGCCTTCCGATTGGGGGAAATAGTTGATCTCATGCCCATTCCTTCTCGCCTATTCATGATTTCCCTGATTCATTACTTTTCCCATTTCAAAAAACGTAAATGTGCCATAATTTTTTTTTCTTCTAGGCATATCGTTTTGGAGTCCACAATAACGGAAATTGTTTTTATTTGCAAGGGCAATTGGATTATCAAGTGTCATACCCGAAGGCCCAAGTTGACTGGCCCAGCTCCAAAAACAACTGCAAGTCAAGTCCTGACGAGTTCTGCCCGGAGTCTGACTCAGCATTAACACACAACTTACATTTTGTTAAGACATGCAGGCCACACTTTCTAGTTGTTCCCAAGGAAATGTGGCTGGAAAAAATGAGGGAGCAGCTGATGGAAACCCTAACTTCCCGATGGAGATAATAGGTGATGGGCTGCCAGTCAGGTTGTTATGCCGCTTCAGGTGTGGATCTAAACCATGCAATTCTCTAAATTGGAACATAATTCACTCTACTCTTTGAATGTGGATGAGTTTCCGAATCGTAATCATGCATTTCTAACTCCCGTTGTTGTACAATGACCTGTTGATTATGCACAATTTTTACGAAGCAGTCAGAATCTTTCAATTTATGGATTTCCCAAAGTTGGTAGAGCTGGGATGTACAGGGAGAGCCTTGCTTCACCCGTTACCCTTACGTTATTGACTGAGAACATTAAGCATGAGACAACTGTAGATAGGAGAGGTAAAGAAGGTAAATCCACTCAATCTCTTTCTAGACTTTCTTGAATGTTTTAAATTGTTGCTGTATTTTTGGTGCACGACTGAATAAGGTTTTAATAGTTCTACCATTGTTTGATGGTCCCTGTGTTGAATACAAATGCTTAGCTTGTACTTGGACTAAAAGGAGTTGGAAGAAGTTGCTTCGATCACCGCACATATGAGCATACATTGTTTTGTTAGATGAATTCTTGTGGTTTTAGCTTTGTCATGTCAGTTTTTTTCAGCCTGGAAATTATTCAAAGATAGTATAAATATTCATAGGCTAGGCAGGATTTGTTATGCGTTTTTTTGTCACCATTCTACTGTAGTATATCCGAACATAATAATGTTTTCGTGCCAAATATTTATCTGCTAAATTTTTTTTTCTTCATAATTTGACTTTCCTTTTGTCCTTCTAGAGCTAGGTACTCAATAGGAAACAGCAAATTTTTGGGAATGTTTTGAAGTGCTTATGTTTAAGAACTTTTGCTCAGTAGCATTTTTTGTTAGAGGCACATAGAAAGTTTCCTCAAAAGCTCAAGTGGTTTTGCAGATTCACTTGACAATGCTTTCGGATAAGGAACCTATTATTGTTTCTTGATCAGGAAGCACTAAAAATTTCCCCAAAAAGAGTTCTTATTATTTTTGCCAAAGATTAACCGTTTTAGGTATCTAAAAGTTTCTTTCAATATATCAAAAGCACATCCAAACATACCCTTCTTGTTAGACGTGGTAGCTGGGCTCATAGATACAAGTCCTTGATGTTATATATTGGCTAGCCTCGTACTAATATCTCTCACTCATTTTGGGTGTTTCTGTTAGATTGACTTTGTAAGGAAATCAAGGAGTCAAAAGAATCATGTTGTGAATTCCTGAGACGTTGTCATTGCTTTTTTCCTTTTTACCTTTGGCTTTTAATAAGTACCACATGTCATTTATTCCTGGCTCTTTGTACAAGTCATGGCCAAATTTTTGGGGAATGAATTTTTTCTATTGTAGGTTGATCATCCTTTATTCTTTATTTTCATCAATGATTTTGCTAACTGATTGCATGTAATTTGTTGAGGAAATGGTGGATTGTCCTTCACCGCCAGCGTGGTTGTTTTCATCACTTGCACCCTTGTCTCGTAAGGTTTTTCTTGAATTTTTTTTATTGTCTTCAGTTTTCAAATTTAAATAGATTTATGATAAGCTTCTGACCAAAATAAAAAAAATAGATTTATGATAAGTTTCATTTTGTTTTATTTATTTGTAGAAATGAAACTGAAAATCTTTTATTCATTTCCATACTTGTGTCGCAGGGGCAAATATGGATTCACCATAGGAAATGAGCTTCAAGACTCCAGAAGTAGTTGGTTTAGCTATAGTGGGGATGTACAAGTACAAAACTTTTCTCATAGTTCTCTGTAACACTCATTTCCCATTACATCTTAGGGATTCAGATGAAGTGATTCCAAATGTTGGAATCCAGTTGACAATATGTTTACTTTGTTTATTTATACTATTAGAGTCCATGTATCAGAAGAATAAAACAAATGAATTTCAAATGATTCCGTGCATATAGTTGTTTCAAATATATTCTTTTTTAGATAATTGTTTCAAATATATTCAAATTTACCCTATTGTCAAATTCAAGTACTTTATTTCAAATACCTCCATCCAAATGGAGCCTTGATATTTGTGGGGCATGCTGTGATGACAGATGAGTTAGAAGACAATTGGTTCCAAAGTGCTTCTCGTTGCTGTTCATCTTTCCATGATCGTTCCAACCCACTTAAAAGAGAATTACAAGACAATTCAAATGAGAGTTCATTGATTTAAATCGATGCAATAAGTTCCATTTCATTCTTAAGGTGAAGGGCCCTTTCTGCATTGCCCTTGTCAAAGTGGTTGGCAATCAATGTCTCGTATACACATAAACTTGGGGCTATTGAACGATCTTTCATGATTCCAAAATACCTTTCTGCTTCCTCCACTTTCCCACATTGGCAGAAGCTCTTTATCACGGATGTAAAAACCAGTGCTCCTGGAGAAAGCAACCTGGATTCCATCTCATAATAGAGTTTCACAACCTCCTGAATCTCACCTTTTCTCCCATACCCGTCAATCAGATGAGCGTATGTGATGCTGTCCGGCAAGAACCCTTTATCTAACAGTATGGTAAACATTGTATTTGCTTGCTCTGCATCCCCTGTTTCACATAACTTTCCAACCATCTCATTGAAGGCGGAACGACATGGGATGAACCCATTCTCCACCATCTTCTTCAAGTAACTCAAGCTTGCTTCCACTCTTCCTGCTTTAGCGCATCCCTCAATAAGAAGATTATAGCTCTCATCAAACGGTTTCAAATCCATATTTTCCATCTCATTCATCATGCTTTGTGCTTCCTCAATTCTTCCTCCCTCACAATGTGCTCCCATAAACAAGGTATAGACAAAAGAGTTTGCTCGAAAACCTCTCTTGAGCATTTCTTCATACACCTCCCATGCTGAGCATACATCTCCTTGTTTAACTTTAGCATAAACAATCAATGAGTAAGCAATTGTATCAAGAACCATATTCTTCTGCAACATTCTCCTCAACAACATCAAACCTTCTTCAACCCTACCCTCCTCCAAAATACTAAAAACCAGACTAGTATTCACAATCACAGAAGGAGAGCACCTCTTCCCATGGATCCTGTCGAACATGTCAACGTATTTCTTCAACTTCCCTTCCTTGCACAAAGCATCAATCAAGATTTTGATTGTCTCTTCATTTGGGTAATTTCTTTTTCCAACCATATGCTCATAAATCTTCCAAACCAGAGCAGTCTGGTCAGATTTTTGAACCACGTGAAGCAGAGTGTTGTAAGTTATAAGACTTAAAGGCAACCCATGTTCCCCCAAATAGCAACAAACATCAAAACCAGTCTCAAACATTCTCAGCTTAGCATAAGCCTGTAACAGCAAATCAAACACAAATGGGGTTTGAAGCAGTAACCTCATAACTACTAAGCAATGAATCCACAACTGAAAATTTAGAACCATTTTCAGCAGTTTTCTTCAGAACTGATTCAAGCAAAGCTCTAGCATCCATGAGCAACCTGGCTCTGGCTAAAATATGAATGGTTATGGAGTAGGACCAAACTCCATGCTCAAAGCTTTTCCTGTGAGCTGCCCAGTGGAAGAAACCCAGAGCACGTTTTGCATCAATGGGTTCCTTCAATTCTAACAAAACACTCTCGACGAGCCCTCCATCTAATTTAACAGATTCAAATTTGGTCGTCAGAGTGTCCCAATTCCAACTGCTTCTGAATGAGTCACGGATGGCTTTGGCAACATATTTTGGTGCTGAGTCTGTATTGATCAGTCGGGTTTCCTGATTGATGGGTATGAGAATTAAAGATTTTGAAATTCGACGCAGCAAAAAGGCCATGGACTAAGGATGAAGCCCTCCTATTTTGTGTGTATATATATATATATATATTTTTTTTTTTGTGTTCGAAATCGAGTTTCATTGAATAGAAGATTTAAGCCAGATTACATCAAAATGAACTCAAATAATTGAGTTCACACAAAATGCAATACAAACAGATATAGAGCCTACTACAAATAAAACAAACAAAGTACATAAAGCACACATAAAGACATAAACTAACGTAGAGGCCAAGAGCCCATATAACAGCAAAAAGCCCGGACAACAAAACACATCACAACATTAGGAAACCAAAAGTTGACAAAGTAGCCAAATTGCAGTTTGTATTATAGTTTTTTTCCCTGAGTGTTCATGACCCAATCTCTTTTCTATTTTTTTATTTTATTGAAGTCTCAATCTTGTTGGATGTATTGGTTATATAATTGTTTGGGCTAATTATTTTGTTAGTCTCTGAACTTAGATTCGATTTGCATTTGAGTACCTTAATTTTCAAAATGGTTCTCATGGTCCTTTAACTACACTTTCGTTAGGACAAATGGTTCTGCCGTCAAATTTGTTAACTTTTTCTGTTAAATGCAGGAGCAAAATGGTATTTTTATATTAAAACCAAAAAAATGAATAAATTTTTAAATCATATCTTTTAAATACTGGTTTTGTAATTTGATGTGTTTTTAATTAATTTTTTATGATGTTAAATGATCTAATAAGCAATAAATTAATTTATAATTTTTTAAAAAAAAATTGAGTCCAATGTTGTCCACTGTGGCCTCGTACTAAACAATGGACTAGACTTAACTCTAGTCCAACACTCCAAACTCAATCCCAATCAGTCAGCCTACCAAACAGAGCCATAGGGTTTGGTGCATGTTTGGTTTTATGGAATTTTTTATTATTATAAAATATTTGACATTAGTCATTTTCATTTGTTTGTGTAAGAAAAGGAAATATAACAGAAAGTGTAATTTCGGTTGGGGTAGGTATTCTTTATAGTCCTTAATATCAAAGTCAGATTAATTAATTGATACTCTTGTCTTATATTTTCATGAAACCAAAAGTGGACAAAGCAGTCAAATGCCACAAAGCTGCGACAATACCCTGTTTCCTTCACCAAAAAAAAGGGAGAAAAAAAAGAACCTCTATGAAGAAACCCAGTTGAGATTGTTGAGCAAAGGCTGAGAAGAAGAAGAACAAAAGAAAGCATGGAAGACTACTCGTTGCAAAAGGATTTCAGAGTGGAAAAGTAAAGGAAGGAGCTTTCGCTTTTAGCTTATGGCTTGATCTCATGAACTCCACTGCCTTCTCTGCCAGGCTTGTGATGAGTGGGGTGCCGTTCTTAGCAATCAACTTCTCTAATTGAGACTGAAATTTGGAGATGCAGTGGGAGAAGAAGAAGAAAAGTGAGAAGACGATTTATTTTGTTGAAAGAAACCCAAAAAGCGCGAGGACTGTAAGAGCACTTCCACCCCAAAGGGTAAGGGCAAGGCAGAGGCAAGGTTTGTCACTATTCTCTATCCTTTCATTTATCAGATTTTACAAAACACATTCTACTCTCAATGTCTAACCTGAGAAGGGTGTTGGAGAGGCAACATCGAGAAGATGAAGAAATCAGGCGCAGACGTGTTGAAGAAGATCACGAGTTGGATGAAGAGGAGGAAGAAGTTGTTTTAGTGGTGGGTATGCTAAATCAATCAAGGCAACACCACCGTGGCTGTGCCCCAAATGTGGATAGACATAGGCACTCTCGGGGTAAGAATCTTTTAGAAGATTACTTTATCCCAAATTCGTTATATCCTGTTTCTTATTTTAGAGAGAGATATAGAATGCAGCCCCATTTGTTCCAAAAAATCATGCATGATGTTTGCAATTACGACACATACTTCGTTTAGAAGTACGACGCTCTTGGGGTTTTGGGTCTTCTTTCGGAGCAAAAACTTACAGCTGCTTTACGGATGCTTGCATATGGGGCATCTGCAGATCAGGTGGATGAGATTGCTAGGATAAGGAAATCAACTATCTTAGAGTGCTTGGTCAAATTCTGTGATACAATAGAAACTCTCTACACGAGGGATTACCTTCTCAAACCTACGCCTAGGGACCTCCGAAGACTCCTACAAAAGTCCGAGGCTCGAGGTTTCCCAAACATGATTGGAGGCATCGATTGTATGTACTGGCAGTGGAAGAATTGCCCAACTCCTTGACAAGGAGATTATGGGAATAAGAAGGGCCAAAAAAATATAATTCTAGAGGCTGTTGCATCATTCGATACCTGGGCTTGGCATGCCTTTTTTGGAGTTTACGGATCTCAAAATGACCTCAATGTGCTTGGTCAATCCCCGGTATTCAACGATGTCTTGAGAGGTCATTCCCCCTAGATCACGTATCAAATCAACAATAATGTACACTTGGGTGTGTACTACCTAGCCGACGGAATTTATCCGAGGTGGACAACATTCGTCAAAACAATTTTGAATCCCCAATTGGAGAAGGAAAAAAGCTTTGCTGCCCTTCAAGAGGGTTATATGAAAGATGTGGAAAGGTGTTTTGGTATCTTGCAAGCTCGTTGGGAAATGATTAAGGGTGTTGCTCGTATGTTTGATGAAGAGGTGCTTCGAAGCATTATGATGACTTGCATAATCCTCCATAACATTATTATGAAGGATGAGTATGATTATGATGCCCCAGAGATGCTCGAACCCAATCTCATGAACACGACATTGACAAGAATTTATGAACGGCCCGTGGGAGCAAATGAACCACTGGAGAATGTACCGTTGATTAGGGACGATCGATACAACAACCCTATGATCGACTGTTATCAGGAAATGCAATCTTCTTATGTTCACGAGAGATGTCAAGTTGACTTGATCGAGCACTTATGGGAGATGAAAGGCAATTACGGTGGATGAAATCAAGTTTAATGCTTTTTTTTGGAATTATGCTTTGTTTTGTAATGAATTAAGGTTTGTTTTGATGTATGAAATGTTTTTAATAAATAACTATATTATTTGATGCTTTCTTTATTCAATAAAAAAGAAACAATACAACAAATTAATACATATGACAACTCTTTCAATACAACCTAATGGTTTTGATCATTTAACCAATCTATGTTGCTAGGTCCATCGTCATGGAAAAGCTTTCTTCTCATAACATCCCTTCGTTTTAGCTTCCAATAGGACTTTGTTTCAGGAGACATATGGCTTGTATCCATGGCCATGATTTTCATCTCTCTGTTCTCCATGTCTTGTTCTTGTGCATGTTGCCTTTCAATTGCATATGTTTCATATCATGCCTTCTTAGCTTCTTCTTTTTTCAAGTCTCTCTCAATTCTCAGTGCGCCGCTCTTAGCAATTTGATCCAAAAATTTTGCACATTCAGTGTTCGAAGTGCTCCCTCTCTCTTAGCCTTTTTCGCCTTTCTCCTAATAGGCCTCAGCTAACGTTGGATTAGTGAGTCTTGATCAATTGGGTAGTCCAATGGCGAATCGGTTGCCGGTGAATCGTGGAGTGGCGTCTCATTCAACACAACCGTCGGACTAGTAGAAATAATTTTGAATCTTGAACAATTCTTCACAATGTCCCAACATTCGTGATTGATGAAACTTTTTTTTCCTTGGCCAATGGCACCTAATCACATTTGCGCTTGAATAATCTATCTAAAAAAATGGAAATGGAAGAAAATATTAAAAAAAATTGGAAATGCAAGAAAATATTTTAAAAAAATGTGACATTAAATTGAATAAAACAACATTTATAAATATTTTACCTCGTCGGCAAGATTTTGACTGGTTCGAATGTTGTCCCTCACTTTTGCCAACGCATCTCTCCATTTCCTAACTCTTTATTCAAAATTTTCCACCTACTCGCTAATGCCATTTCTATACAAGCTGAACCTGATCTTTCACAAAATTCCTCCTGAATTTTTCTCCACTTATGAGAGGACTTCATCTCATTGCCCGTGATTGGAAAATGACCAACTTTGACCCAACACTCACATAACAAAATATCTTCCACGATCGTCCACCCACCTTCGGATTCGATGGAAGATGTCATTTGTATTTTTACATAAATGAAATTTAGAGGTAGAAAATTTTGTGTGGATAGTGAAAATATTGGAAGGAGATGAATTTGTTTTAAGATTTAGTATGGAAAGTGAATAATATTGGTAGGTATTTATAGAAAAAAAATTCAAGAATTTTTTGATATTTTTGACAAATTTTTTCAATTTTTTTTAGCCACAAAATAGACAGCCGTTGGATTTGACAAGATCTTTAGATTGGAGGCTCTAGGAGAAGCCACGTGGCTTGTAGTCGTTGGTTTCTGGCAACTGTGGGTCAGCGCTGACGTCAGGAGCTGAAAGGCAAGGTGACAAGCCATATCTCCCCTTGGGCTTGCCCAGGCTCGTGGGTCCCAAGCCTTGCCGGGACTGGATGTTGTGTGCTGGACCTGCTCCCCGGGCCTAGAGCCCCCTCCAGCCTGGGCTAGCCTCTTGTGCTGGAGATGCTCTAATTAGAGTTTGGAGGCTTAACTTAAGGGCTGTCATTTCGTAAAAATAGTAAGGGTGTTATAGGAAAATTGAAAGGTTCATTAAAAGGAACTGGTCATTTCATCAAGTCCTCATATACTTTGAAAATCTCAGTTATTATTATTATTATTATGATTATTTTTTATGATAAGCGATAGAAATAATAAGTAGGGTTCCACAACTTTACCAAACACTTTAACTGTGATCTTGTCATTGAAATGATAACCAATACAAAAAATTCAATACAACGATCACACATGAAGGCTTCGCCAAAAAAAAAAAATTCACACATGAAGGTAGGGGTTGTCAATGCCCAGGCCGAGTTGGCTCAGTCCAAATGTCATGAATTTAGGTAGGGTTGGGTCAGGCTTCAAAAAAGAGAGAGAAAATAACGGGCTAGGTCTGGTTAGGCTTTTTCAAAAAATTAAAAGCCTAGGCCCACCCAATTAGCTAGGCATAAGAAAGCCCAACAAGTCGGGCTGGGCCAAATGGGCCTGCTTTGTTTTTATCTTTTTTGTTCTTTGTTTCTTTGTTTACCTCCCTTTACATATTCTCCTTCCACCAAACCCCACCACCCCCCACCCCCCCCAATTTTCATAGTTGTCTTTTATTCCATAAATATACTTCTGAATCCCCCCCAATATCATGTTGACCAAAAAAAAAATATTCATGAATATCTTTCTCTTTTGGTCTGAATTTGTTCCAGTACCCACCAAAGGCATTTTACCCATTTGCGAATGAGATGTTCAGTTAGTTTAATAATGGAAGCAATTCCTTGGATGCCAACAGAGACACAAGAGAAAGGTATGATGTGTTCACTCGCAAACTTCGAATCATTGAAAACATTATCAGACCTTTCTCTTGTGTCTCTTCCTACCCTTCTCATCAAAGAAGCATGAGAAGAAACAACCCTAGAAGGGCGGCCACCCTTTATGGTCAAGCCAAGCCAGGCCGGGCCTTTATGGGCTCAAACAGGCCGGGCCTATGGGCTGGGTTGGATTTTAGACAACCAAACTCAAGCCTAGTACATGGCCCACAATAAGTCGGCCCAGGCTTTTTCTCGATGATCCAGGCAGGCCCTCATTAGCCAATGAGCTCACAGACCGAATGATGACCCCTACACGAAGGCCTCTTTGAGATTGATCATGAGCTACTTTATTGGCTTGCCTAGGGACCCATTTTCATTGGATGGATCAAACGTAACTCCAATTCCATAATCTTTCCTGCATGCAAATTCAATTGGAAATATTGAGTTAATATTATTATATTACTGAAATCATTAAAGAATTGATATTATTATTTAAACTTACTATTTAATGATTGAGTAGACCGTTTGGATGATAGTCAACATCAAAATGATAATGAATGGGATCATCTCGTTTGTTGCCCAAGGAGAATTGAAAAAATGTCTCTTCAAAGTGGATTTCCATTTGATCCACAGCCTTTTCAAGTAGCGGTCCAACTCCTCACGAACACTTCCAAAATAGAAGTCTGAGATGACAACCTCTTTGCCAAGGTCGTTAATCAGAGTAGACACCTCATTGTGGTCGCTTAGCATATTTATAAAACTTCCTTTCTTAACAAGCAACTCCACATCCATCGGTACGTTCACAAAATCATCCAAGATGGAAAGATAACTGTTTACGTAAGAAGAGCAGCCATGACATTGCTCAAAGGCAACAATATGTCTAAACAAAAGCTCACTGGCATTGTGAATCAGTAATCTTGGAATTTCTAGAATTCTGTCCACAAATCGTATGGAAAATAAGCTTGTGCTTGATCCCCACACAATTTTTACTCCAGCCATCAGTAGTTCGGAGATGCTCGGTGCACTTACAGCTTTCACTTCCCCTCCTATCTAAATAATATGTGAATCCTTGGGGAGATAAAATAGTCTTAAAAACGCAATAAAGTGTTCTACTTTCAAACTTGAAGAACCTAGCATCCCCCCATTCTGTACCATGCTCGTCGAACTAAATGTCATATTGATGAACTAGGCGAGGTTCATCATCGAAGGAATGACATAAGTAATGTTACTTATAGCAGCTGCTGCGATTCTCTGTAGTTCAAGAAGATCCTCAAGGATGCAAAACGACACTTGATTTTCCAACTTGAGCATGTCTGGCATAATATAATTTATTATCCAGGACTTGCTGGAGATGTTATTGTGGTCATCCACTCCTAATGGGTTGAAACGGTGACCACATAACTTCAACAAAATCTCTATCACGAAGGCGGCATCCACCATCATGATTTGTATGAAGTCCTCGCTACTGAACTCAATGACGTCAGCATAGCAAGCGCGCAATTTTTCTTCTTGATCTTTTATCTTCTAAATGTAGACCTCCAAGGGTACGTCGACCCTATGCAGGAATTTTTTCAAGTAGCTCCTTTTGAGTTCTTCCATCGGTTTTAAGTCTCCGTTGCCATGATGGAGTGGGCCTATGGATATTATCGAAGGCGTGTAGACATCTTTGCTTGCTTTTGCATCGTAGATAGACAGGAACTCCATAGATGCAATGTCCTTCTCTCGAGACAGATGTATCCAACATCTGTCTAATGGAAGCTGCCAATAAAATATAGGGATTTTCTATATTTATTGGAGCTTCATTTTTCCTACCCTTCTCCTCCTCATTTCAACCGCCATATTAATAAAATTATATTTTATCCCCTACTTCATTTTTTTAAAATTCTTGCAATGATAATACATAATGATTTTCTTCATCTTTCATTAAACTTGATTATATATATATATATATATATGTATATAAGCCCGAGGGCCAAGCTGGACTTTCTTGGGCTCAAACGGGCCGGGCCGAGCTTTAGTTGATAAGAAAAATATTCGAAAAATTAGAATTTAATTAATCCAAATTAAATGCATATATACCCAAATTAATTTTTAATTAAAACCTAGAGTAGGGAGTTTAATATCCAGCATTTTGCTATGATAATTTGCTTACTTTTAACGTCCCAACACATAATATACGGAGAAAGCATAAACTTAAGGAAATTATGGGACACATCTACAAAAAACTTTGTTGATTATTAATTGTATAGAAAATTTGAACAACATATATATCGTGTACTGCATATAAACGTTGAGACACATATCCAGTAGGGGAAAAAAGCATGTAAATACAGTAGGGAAAAAACAAAATAATCCTTTAACAAACAATTGATTTAACTAAATGTTACGAACTAAAACTTTCCTTTATTTCTAAAGGGAGAATTCAAAAGCCTATTTTTCAATTTTGTTCGTTTGATCAAAATAATCTTCCGTGGCACTATATTTTTGACACAAGTTTTGACACAAGTTTTCAATCATTAGATTGAAATGAATTGAATGGCTAAGATTAACTAAACTAATTGTATATTTTTTAAGAAAAATATATATTGAAAATAATTATTAATTGACTTTCTCTTTCTTATTTGTCTATCCTCAATCAATGTTTTATCAAATTTTCCTATTTCGTCGTTCTCTATCCTGTAGAATTCTTCAGTTAATGACTTTCCCATCCTCCTCCCCTTTCTTCTAAAGCTTTACAGGTTTCTGATTCTTTTTCTTCTCCATCCCTAACTTTGTTTTTCTTTTTTTTACTGCTTATTTTTTGGGTTGTTACAGTTATACATGGATTATAACTCTCGATCCACACACACACAATGAACTGCAAGCAAACTATCTTTTGCCATATATTTTTTAATGTTATTATGAATCATAATGAATAAAAGCTAAAGCTTGTAAGCCATTAAGATGTTAGAGCATCTCCACCCACAAGGGCTAAGTCTAAGGCAAGGGCAAGCAAGGGCTGCCACTATTCACGTGAATAGTGTCAGCCTTTGCATTTGTGGTTCCACCCACAAGGGCAAAGTCTAGGGCAAGTCTAAGGCAATTACTATTCATTGTACTTTATTTTCTATTTTTTATAGTTTAAACCATTAATTTTGATAATCTTTTGTAATTAAATTTTCGGATAAGATTTTCACCCTCTAAAATTGTGCCACGTCTGATGTAGAATAAATGTCAGATTTTATCGCTTGAGCTAGAAAAAGGACGTAGTGGGAATTTGCAGATTTGTCGTCCGAGCTCCGATTAGGACGCAAAATACCATTTCGGAAAGGGAACGACGCCACGAGTCAAACTCACAGCTTTGCTGTGACGTATGATGGATTTTGGCATTTTGAGGTCGTTTGGCCTTCCAAAACGGCATTTAAAGTTTCGTAGTTAATTTTCAGTATTTTAGATTTTAATAAAAATTATTCAAAGAAAATTCCTTTTAAAATTGTGCCACGTGTCAAATGTTAGATAACATTTTCAGATATTTTAAAAAAAATTTAATCTCAGATTTCAGATAAGATTTTCACTCTATATAATTGTGCCACGTGTCAAATGTCAGATAACATTTTCAGATATTTTAAAAAAATTTTAATCTCAGATTTCAGATTAGATTTTCACCCTCTACAATTGTGCCACGTGTCAAATGTCAGATAACATTTTCAGATATTTTAAAAAAAATATCATCTCAGATTTTTGATAAGATTTTCATCCTCTCAAATTGTGCCACGTGTCATCTCTATCTTCTAAATCCGTCTATAAACTAGACCTGATTTTCAAACCTCTCACACCATCTCTTATCTATTCCTTCATTTCTCAGATTGTAGAAAACACATTCTACTCTCAATGTCAAACTTGTTGAGGGTGTTGGAGAGGCAACGAAAAGAAAGGGAAGAAACAAGGCGTAGACGTGCTGAAGAAGATCGGGAAGCTGATGAAGAAGAGGAACTACTGCTTGCAGCAGCGGTGTGTATGATGGATCAATCAAGGCAAAACCGTCGTCCTCGTGCCCCGAATGTGGACAGACGTAGGGAGTCTCGGGGTAAGAATCTCATGGAGGATTATTTTATCCCAAATCCGTTATATCCTGCTTCTAAGTTTCGAGAAAGATATAGAATGCAACCACATTTGTTCCAAAAAATCATGCATGATATTTGTAATTACGACACATACTTCATTCAAAAGCATGATGCTGTTGGAGCTTTAGGTCTTATCCCGGAGCAAAAACTGACAGCTGCTTTGCGGATGCTTGCTTATGGGGCATCTGCAGAGCAGGTGGATGAGATTGCAAGGATGGGAAAATCTACTGTCCTAGAGTGCTTGGTGAGATTTTGTGATGCAGTGGAAAATTTGTACACGAGGGAGTACCTTCGCAAACCAACGCCAAGAGACCTGCAACGGCTTCTACAAAAAGGCGAGGCCCGAGGTTTCCCAGGAATGATTGGAAGCATCGATTGTATGCACTGGCAGTGGAAGAACTGCCCTACTGCGTGGCAAGGGGAGTACGGGAATCGGAAGGGCCAAAAAAGTATAATTTTGGAGGCCGTAGCTTCATTCGATTGTTGGGTTTGGCATGCCTTCTTCGGGGTTGCCGGTTCTCAGAATGACCTCAATGTCCTTGGTCAATCCCCAGTGTTCGATGAGGTATTGCGAGGTCATTCCCCCCAGGTGACGTACCAAATCAACAATACCGTTTACTCTGGTGCGTACTACCTTTCCGACGGAATTTATCCTAGGTGGACGACATTCGTGAAAACAATTCCGAATCCCCAATCCGAGAAGGAAAGAAACTTTGCTTCCTTTCAAGAAGGTTACAGGAAAGACGTGGAGAGGTGTTTCGGTATCTTGCAAGCTCGTTGGGCAATTATTAGAGGTGCTGCTCGGATGCTAGATGAGGAGGTGCTGCGGAGTATTATGATGACTTGCATCATCCTTCACAACATGATTGTGGAGGATGAGTATGACTATGATGCTCAAGAGGTGTTTGAACCCGATCCAATGAACACATCGTTGACAAGAATATATGAAAGGCCGATTGGACCAAATGGACTACCACTGGAGCCCGAACCCATACTTCGGGATGGTCAATTCAACAACCCCATGATTGATCGGTATCAAGAAATGCAATCTTCATATGTTCACGAGATACGTCAACGTGACTTGATCGAGCACTTGTGGGAGATCAAAGGCAATCACAATGGATGAAGTCAAGATTAGTGCTTTGTTTGGAATTATGCTTTGTTTTTAATTATGCTTTATTTTGTGTGTGGTTTTTTTTTGGAATTATGCTTTTTATTATTATGCTTTTATGTATGGTTTGTTTTGTGTGTTGTTTGCAATCAATGAAGGTTTTTTTAAATTAATATTTGTTTTGATGCTCAAATGTTTTTAATAAATAGTCATTTAATTTAATGCTTTTTTGATTGAATAAAAAGGGAACAATTCAACAAATTAAAGGATAAGGGAACAATACAACAAATTAAAGGATAAGGGAACAATACAACAAAGTAAAGGATAATACAACAATACAACAACTTAAAGGATAATACAACAATACAACAACCTAATGGTTTTCATCATTTAACCAATCCGTATTGCTAGGTCCGTCGTCATTGAAAAGTTTTTTCCTCATCACATCTCTTCGTCGTTGCTTCCAATAAGCCTTTGTTTCGGGAGACATATGGCTCGTATCCATAGCCATGATTTTCATCTCTCTATCCTCTATGTCTTTTTCTTGTGCCATTTGTTGTTGGAGAGCAAATGCTTCCTCTCGTGCCTTGTCCATTTCATCTCTTTTCAAGTCTCTCTCGATTCTTAGTGTGGCGCTCTTAGCTATTTGCTCCAATAATTGTACACAATCATTGCTCGAAGTGGCCCCTCTCTTGGCCTTTGCCGCCTTTCTCCCAATAGGTCTTGGCGGACGTGGCACAAATGGTGACTCCGTTTCCATTGGGGAGTCCAATGGAGAATCGGTTGATGTTGAATCGTGGAGTGGCGTCTCATTCATCACAACCGGCGGACCGGTGGGAATAATTTTGAACCTCGAACAATCCTTCACAATTTCCCAACATTGGAAATGCACGAAACTTTTTTTGCCTTGCCCCATGGCACCGAACCACATTTGTGCTTGTACCATCTATTAAAAATAAATA